GGTGCTGCTGCTGAACCTTGAGCTTTGCAAGCACTTCAGAGCCAAACAGGTCCCCAGCGCTTTTTATACCCATCCCAAATCCATTGCTTCGTCCCATACCACACACACACACACACACACGCAGAGCTGTGCCTGCCCCATCTCCAATCCATGCCCCATTCTGGAGGGCTGCAGAGTGGCTAGAGGAACCGTGGAACCCCAGTGGGGTCAACATTTTGYTCCACTCTGCCCCAAACTGGCTGTGAGCCCTCTCTGGAAGCCCTGGGAACCCCCAGGATGAGGGACCAGCAGTGACCCCAGAACAGCTAAATAAGGCAGGATGCTGGTTTTAAGTCCTGGCTATAAAATTGAAAATGGCAGGGGCAACACTGTCAGATGAAGGAAGCACCTGCGGGGGCAGGCAGGAGGAGAACTTTGCCAGCACGGCCCAAAGGGACCAGCCAGAGCCACTGTGGGGTCACAAAAGGCCCCTGCAGTGATCCTGCAGTGGGGCCACTATTSCAGAGTGGGAGATGCCACATCCTCCCTCCCGGCCACAGGTCCCAGGCCGGACACCCCCAGGCACAGCAGCCCCGACACSGCAGAGCCCTCCCGCGCCTCCCCGGCTCCGAGCAAAGCAGTAACCAAACCCAGCCTACCGGCACGTTTCCCAAGGCTGGCGCGGTCCGGAGCAACGCACACACGACCCAGGTGGGTGTCCGAGGAAAACCCTCCGGCCCCCGGCTCCGCTGCTCCTCGGCCGGGGATGCAGAGCGGCTCCGCCCGCCCCGACGGGACCCGGCAGCTCCGCGTCCAGCCCCGGGCTCGGCTCTGCCACAGCCAAACACTGCACAGCAAAAGGCAAGCAGAGATCCATGTCTGGCCGCGACACCTCAAAGGGAGCTATTTTAAGGGGCCGGTGGGGAGCTGGGCGGTGGGTTGATTTGTTTGTTTTAAACGTGCAGCCGCAAAGGCTGCARTCCGCCTTTCTCCTTTTCTCTTGTGCCCGAGAAACTTTCTCCTTTTTACTTTTGGGGGAAGGAGAGGGTAAATTCCTTCAAACGTGAATTTGAAAGCATGCAAGGTTGGGCGGCTTGCTCGGCCCCTGCGGCRCAGGAGGGGATGGGGCACCCCCAGTCCTTCCACCGTGTCCCCAGTCAAGTTCAAGACGGGCCCGTCTGGGCTCTGCCCCGCTCAGCAAAGCTGCGGAGCCCGTGGTGCGGGTCGCTGCTCGCCCCCGGGGCTGGCGTTAGCCCGCGGCAAGTCCGTGCTCCCCAGGAGGATCCCCGAGGAGGATGCCCGAGGAGGATGCCCGAGGAGGATCCCCGAGGAGGATGCCCGAGGAGGATGCCCGAGGAGGATGCCCGAGGAGCCGTGCCCGCTCTGGCCGCGCTCCGCGGGCGATTCCCGCAGCAGCTCCGCGCCCCCTCGAGCAGGCGGTGCCCGCGGCCCCGGTGCACCAACATTTGCCGGGGACGGGCGCTTTCCACCATCGSTCTGGCTGCTTGGGGCTCCTGTGACGCCGGAGAAGTTTCTCGGGTGAGATGTCATCTCGAACYCTTTCTCCTCAGGACGAGGCTTTTCCGCATCCTATTCAGAAATAAAGAACAAAACAAACCAGACGATAACGGAGCAAGTGCTGCCCGCCGCGAGGTGGTCCCAGGCTCCCC